CCAAAATGTGCCGACAGCACAGTACAGACTACTGGTGAGGTGGAAGTTCAAAGCATGACCTATGAGTATGATGGAGAGTTGCTGCAGGAAATCAATGAGACCATGGAAAGATCTGCAGTGTCCAAGGCTGAATATGGAGCATTTAATGTTAATTTGCAGAAGCTACTGAAAGAGGTCTCTGAAACACCAGCTTCTGTGTTGGAAAATATGGATAATAAAATGCAAGGTAAAATACAGAGTAGTCTAAGTGTGCAGGTTCCACAGCAGCGAGAGAGAGATCATCCTCAAGAAATACAAGAAACAATAGAAAAAACTTCTCTTTCAAATATTGTAAAATTCAGTGAATTCAGTTGCTCTTTAAAAAAACTTCTTCAAGAAGCATCTGAAATTTCATGTGCAATATCCAAAGAGTTACATAAACAAGAAAAGTTTGGGGATCGTATGTTTACATCACAAAGAGAGACTCTATTCATGACAGTGTCACAGCCATGTAATGCTTTAAGTAGCTATCATACACAGATGAAAATAGCTATCAAAGGGGGAGGTCCAGAACAAAATATCAAAGCTTCAGTAAATGATCTTGCAGTAAGTGAAACTGAAGTTTCTGATCTTCCTAAAAGAAGTAGAGCTATTCATAAAATAGAAAAGAGAAACATGGCTCCAGTTGATCTTCCTCCCTTGGAAGGAGAGACCAATATGATTGCAATCAAACCATTCAAGACAAACGAAAAAGAAAGGAGAGATGAAAGCACATCCTTGGATGCCTCTGAGAAGAATTTTGAATTTAAAGCACCATTGAAATTCAGAAGAGCGAGCACACCACTTAAAGATGAGAGCAGCTTCCCCCAGCCAGAAGCAGCTCAATTCTGCCTAATGTCTCAGCATGAGGATAGTGATGAAGAGGAAGGGGACGGCTCAAATTTGGGATCCAAATTTTCAGATGAAAACTCTGAGTCCTACTCTGGAACCAGAAGTTCAACTTGTGAGCTGTTTGATTTCTAAAATTTATGGTGCTGGGTTGTTAAACATGGCTACAATATTATTATTTTTTTTTTTTTTTTGGTAGCCAACTTGAAATATGTTAACCAAAAGTCTGCATGATACTTATTTCTTAATTGAATGCTTTGGATATTTGTTTGGGAAGGATGGGAAGAACTGAGTCCTTTTAATTGGAAAGTGTTCAACAAAAAATTATTACATTTGGGTAAGCCTCTTTGGTAAGGGAAGTTTAGCATCATGAATTAATCCCATCAGCCTTCATGATTTACCGTTTTCTTCCTCCCCTGTGATATTGTTAATTCAAATTAACAACATTGTAACACTCAAAATCTGATATTTCTTTTAAATATACTGGATTAAAAGAGGAAAAAAAATATCAGTGGCTAACTGAGTTCATTCTTTAGTTTGACCAGCTAGTCTTCAAAGGTGTAAATACTTATCAGTGGAATGGCTGGATATATAGACAATACCAATACTCTGTGTTATTTCATTTAGCATTGCTGCCTGTTGCACTAGAAAGTGGGCATACAAATGAAGTGATCCGTTTACTAGAATTCTCATTATTTAGTTGAATGGGAGTTCTAGTCAATGTATAGTTTGTGATACTCATTGAAGAGCTTAAGGTAGAGGAGATAATTTAACCTTTTTAATCTCATGCTGAGAGACTGGGAACATTTTCTTCACCTGGAGAATCTGAGAAATATGTGAAGTTTCCAGGGCCTGCCAAGTTACTCTTGAGCCTGTTCTGAAAGTGAGATTACAATTAGAAGTCAGTGGAAACTCAAGACAAATGAGAAAAATGAAACATGATTTGTTTTTACCCATAATTACAGACAGCAACAATGTAAGGCCTGGTTGGTTGGCTGATGGTGAGGAAAGTGAGGTAGCACGGAGAGAGGGTCTTAAAGGTTTCTGAAGGAGCTAGGTCTTGATTCTGCCCTTGGAGACAACTGCATAATTTCAGGGATCCAAATAACTCCACAGTTGGAGTTTTTTGAGGTTGTTGCTCAAGTGTTGCAACAAAATTACTGTCACTGGGGAGAAAATATAACAGAAATTTGCATAGAGGGAAAAACTAAAACTATTCATTTTTTGTGCTGATTCATAACAAGATATTTACAAAATGGCTAAAATCTGAGTTTATCCTATATTGTTCTTAGAAATTACGTCCCATAATTGCTTGCAACCTGCTTATTAGTACAGAAAAAGATACGCACACAGAGCAAATCAACTAACTTGCCTCTCTCTACTGAGGCTGAGAGAATTTAGAGGGAGTAAATGGACACCTAAAATTAGACATTTCTTTTGTTTGTTTTGTATTTTCATTGAGTGTTCACTGTCTTTGCTAACAGCCAAAATAGATACATGAGAAATCTAGGGTTGTTTTTTTTTTAGTGACTTGCTTAAAATGGCATGTCTATGTGTGCAGTGTTCACGTGTTTTGTCTTGTAACAGGTTCAGAAGAAGAATTAAACCCTGTTTTGATGGCTTTGAAAAGGAGTGCAGATAGGAAAATGCCTTCCAAAAGTCTAGAGGACATTCCATCAGCCACCTCAAGTGAGCACAAAGCTTGTGTGTGTCTCCCATGACCCCCAGTTTGGCTTAAATATGTTCATGCTGGTCTTCCGTACAGCTTTGCCAAATAGCGTTTTTGTCTTTATTTCTCAATAAGCTGTATGGAGCTTGTACTGTAGAACTGAATTCTTTTCTCATACGGTTTAGTTTTCAGTTCTTTGTGTTAATTTTGAAACAACAATGGTCTATGAAGCAGACATCTTCCAAAAATGCACTGTGTTAATCAGTGATGAACTGTTTCTTGGATAGTTTTTCAATAGTGAAAGTATTGGCAACTACCAAAATCAGTAATGAGTAACAACTGCCATTGTCTCCTGGCTGCTCACTGGGGTCAAATTAGTAGACAGTGGAAGTATGAAAAAATTATCTCAGTTTAGTAGTGTTTCACCTGTGTATTCTAGCATTTAATATACCAAACTCACTTTAAGAGAATACAGTGAGACAAGATTGTACTTAAAATTAATTCCTGACTTCCCTCTGTAGCCTCCTAGGATTTTTTTTTTTTTAATTATTATTATTCCTGTCTCCCTTTACCCTGCCCCAGAGTGTTTTCATGCTTATCTCACGTCTGATGGGGAAGACATAAACTGAACTTACATTTGTAAATTGAAGTGTGGAGGTGTATATTTTGAAAGATGTTGGCTATTGTTGGCAAATTACTCTTCTAATACTACTTATGCTATTGCTTCTAAACTAGTTTCTAGGTTTTAGGTATGCACTAACATTGTTGCAAACAGCACACTGACAGAAGCTGTGTCAACATGAGGCTGCTGCTTGGATGTAAGCTTGAAGTAGTGTGTGAAGTAGAAAGCAACTCTTGAGTTTAACCATTCCCATGGCTCTGCTGGTTTGTTTGGTTTTTTGTCCTCGTTACTCTTAATTCTGTGATTGCCACTGCCATCCATTTTATCATATTGAACAGCAAAATTTCTAACTATGTGTTACTTTTTTTCCTGCACAGATAAAGGAAAAATAAATAATCCAAAGGAAGAACTAGCTCTTAGTGCTGAAGATGGTAAATATGTTTTGTGTCTGCATGGAAGTTTATTAGTTTTTCAATGGTCTCTGTTTACTAATGAAGGATTTTTTTTAAACCGAGAATTGTATTGCGCTTTTAGATTTGATTAATTTCAGCATGACTGAAATGCTTTTGTAGAATTTTGTTGTGTTGTTTTATTCTTAAGGAATATACTTATATTATGTCCCACTATATCTGTAGAAACTCTGTGCCACCTACCAGTGTATTATTTTGGCCTTTGGTCATTCAGCCTATGAAACAGTTACTGAAATCATTGAGAGCTTTGAACATTAGCTCAAAAACTTGGCCTAAGTAAATATTGTCTGTTCATTTCTTGCATTGTAAGATGCAAGGTGACTTTTGCTAGTGCAAAACACCCTTCAGAATACATCAGTTAAGAAGGCACCTCTCTTACAATCCCTGTCTCAATTCAGTAAAGCAGAATTACTCTAAGCAATAGATGAACTGCTAGATCAGCTACTGCTGCTATCATCAGTCCGTTAGTGCATTACAGATGCCTTACAGTTAAATTTTTCTATATGCCTTTAGAGATTCCAAATCTAAGCAAATTAAAGCAAACCTGTTCCAAGAATATCTCAAGGTGAACTCAATAGAAAACCATCAAATAACATTGAATAATTCATGGTGGAATATAACACACAACTTTTTATTTACTGCATTGGAGCACTACAATTTTAAAAAATAGTTGTACACAGTTGCATTTATTGTCATGTTTCAGATGCTTTAAAGCATTTTGCATGTTAGTGGCCTATAGTATAAATAAGATGATCATAGCATAATAGGATACATGCAACTTCCAGTAAATTAACAAGACTTAAGTACCGTACTGCACTTTGCTTTCAAATGGAGACCCCTACTGAAAGCATGTTTTGCTTTCAATATGGAATGTGTAGACACTTACCTGAAAAGGATGGGGGGAGGGGTTGAATTATATTTATTGAGTCAAGTTTTGCAAAAATGACAAACAGCAAAGTTGATAGCTGTACGGACAGAGTAAGGCAGGTTCTTTTGAAAATACTATTCATCTTTTTGCTTTGCTTAGCTTGTACACTCATGTTACCTTTCTTATGATCCTGCTCCTCAAAGGAGGACAGCGATGCAAAACACAAACACATGGGGTCTGGGGAAGTCAAAAACTTCCTGCATATAAAATATATTGATGCTATTTATAACATTGTAAAGCTGTTTGTGCTACTGAATGACTCTTGTCAATACTGCACTGAGCAGGTCCAAAACCTGATCAGCATCAAGAGAGGAATGAAAATACAGCAGCAAGTGAGTAATAAGATTCTTCCAGCAGACAATGGAGAGACTTCTTCACTGATATTTAAACTAATACATTAAAAATCCTTTTTTATTTAACAACTAACAAGTTATACATCTGGACTAGATACTTGCTCAATGGGGAAACTGCATCTAACTGCATACTGACAATAGCTGATATGTTGAGCATTATTTGAGCTTCAACAGCAAAAGCTTTACAAAAGCTTAACTCACGCCTTGCAAAGAATCCTGTCGCATGTGCAGTATTTTATTTTATGCAATAGATACATACCATTGTAACTGACTGTTGCCAAATAATTCTCTGCCACACAATATGCAGTATTGGTGCATTTCACAATGTGTATCCAGTCCAAAGATATAGAGCTTGAATGCATTATTAAATATAAGTGAGGTTAGAGCATGGAAAATTCTGAGAATTGTGGGCTTGCTGCAAACTGGATTTCTGCAAGGCTAGCTTGTGCAATTAAGCTTTGTACAGTCAAAGAGCATAGAAGTGAACTTCAGCAGATGCATACCAAAGTTGAAGAGATGGGCTGCAAAAGAGTGCATCATTAATGAGATATGCATCTTATAATTAACTGGGAATACTTGAAACTTCCTTGTTCACATCTAAAAACTGCTTGATTTACACAAATGTTCCCATCGCAATTAATTAGACTGAGTAAATAAAAGAACAGAGTTTGGTTTGTACACTAACTTCTTACCAAGAACCTTATGATGATTCTAATGTCAATGATGGTTAGTGCATGAGTGCACTTAACTTTGTTCTAGGAAAAAAATCTAGAAGGTAAACTGAAAATGTTTTCTTCATCACATTTGATCAGAATTTGCTTGAAGCACCGAGGCTTGTACATCATGTCAAGCAATGTAAATGTTTCTGCTCCTGCCAGACAAAGTTCTTTGGTCAGTGTTACAGGAGTTGTCAAAGTAGATTATCCTTCCTAATGATAGCTTCTCTGAGTCCTATAGAGGGGAAAAAAAAAAATCTTCCATCCAAGTTGTAAACTGGTTGTGCATGTGCATGTATTTCATCTGAAGTTGTTTGTTTCTAACGGTGTCCTGTTATGGAATCTCACTGTTTTGATGTACAAATGTATTTTTGAAGCCTTTTGAATTGCTGCTCTTCAGTTTCCACAGTGCCTTCACAGCCTGATAAGCCATTTTCCAATCCTGAAAAACTCAAAGGACTGAGCAAGTCAGTACCATCATTCCTACAGGAAGAGGTAAGTTCCATCTCTCAAATACTGTAACTAAAACTTTTCATTACTGTGGCATTTTGCATTTGTTCAAGTAGTGCTTTCCAGGGTCTGCCAAGTCAGTTTACTATTGGACCATGGCATGGAGTTGAGCTTGTGGTATAACAATCAGGTGATGATCCCAAACAACCTCTGGCTAGCCAACCTTTCTGAAGCTTTAGTCCAGTAACTAGAGGTTTATTCTGATAGTGCAGCTCAACATACAGAGCATGTTTTATCTAGGAGATTGAAGCATAGTGAATGCTTGCTGTTATTCCAAAAGGCAATCTCTATCCTTAAACTAACAGGTCTTTCTCTTCAGAACATATGTGCATACATTTATTTTCTTCAGAGCCCAAAATCTAAAATTAGTGTGTAAAACCATAATAAAGTCAACATCTGGTAACCCTTCTCAGAGGGGTATTATCTTGGTGTTCTGCTTAGGGATGTAGGTTCAGGTACCAGGCTGTTAACTCTGTGTAAGTGAAATTTCAGAATTTCCGACGACATACTGTGCCTGTAATAATGACAGACTGTAAGTCTATTACTATTATTATTGGTGGTGGTGGTGGTATCATCATGGTGTGAGTCTTGAAATAAACTCTGAAGTTGTATTCAAATCTCCTAAAATGACACTGAAGTTTGAAAGTGATAAGTGATTTGAACTGTCTGGTCTATGACTCCCCAAACAGTCAGTAAAGAGAGGCATGGAGACTGTGTTTAGACCAAGCACAAACCCCCTACCATAAGTGCCTAAAAGAGGTAGCTCCATTGGTTGCAGGGAAGAGGAAACTCTGGAGAACAGCAAATACCTCGTGATTGTTGATCGTGGATAACACCATAGATTCTCTTTTTTTGCTCATCCCCACCCCCCCCCCGCCTTGAGTGCCGTAGTATGAATGTGAATTTGCATGGCAAATGTACATGTAAAACTCCCGCTTCCCCAAGCTGTTAGCAAATGATGGTATGAACACCCAAGTCCTGTGAATGAGGGATGTGTATTAGTGGACACAGACTTAGATGTAACACAGGAATTTGGGACATAAATACCACAAATACACCTGTGTCTGTGCTATAAAATGAGGAACTGCTGCTTACCCCTTGTAAGCCTTCATCACTGTAACTTCAGCATAAGCATCAATATTTTGGATTATTTTTTCTAAAAACATGTGTCTAAAAGGACTGAAGAGTCAGAACCAGGAATATGCTGTCCCCTGTCTTGCCCTACTCCCTCCTAAAGTCTGAAATAATCAAAATGTGGTGATACAAGTTTGATTAATCTTGCCTTAAGTGCAGAATTTAAAATCATTCAGTGTCTATGAATTACACCTCTAGTTAAAGATTCTCTAAAATTAGACTATCCTCACACCCCTTCTGCTGAGAATAATGCACAGGAAACTTCTCTAAGGCTGTTAACATTGCACCAGGGATGGATCAAAAGATTAGCATTTCAAAGCATTAGAGGCGGGATACCAAACAAATCTGAAATGAGTATCTGGGCATCTAAAAACAAGCAGTTACAGCGTCTGTAAGAAGCCAATTAAAAAGCTTACTCACATGAGTTTTGAATGAAAGTCTGACAAATACTTGAAAAGCAAGTGACTACATGTAATCAGTCTGGCCACAGTAGAAAGGGTTTGGGGATGGTTCATATTGATACTCTAAGAAATTGTCAGCACCCAAATCTGTTCATTCTGCCCCCCAAATTTATTTTTAGAACTTCGTTAGTCCCAGTACTGTCTTGAGTTATCAAGCTCACAGCACAGGATGTATGACAAGATACACACATGCATGTGTGCACACACACACGTATGCGGGTGTGTATATATAAATATATATAAAAGACCCCAAGGCATTCATGGGAAGTAAAGCATCAATTCTTTAATACAGAGATAACATTGAGACAGAACAGGGTTGTAAGCACATAACCTGATAATGACCAAGTAAACCCAAACTGCCGTTCCCTGACGGAAAAGCAGGGCCTTGCTTGCCCTCTTGCAAGAAAAGCTTTTTGCAAAAGCCATTTGCTGTATCCAGTGCTGTTCTGGGCGTTACCTTCCAGCTAGCTGCTTTCAAGACAAAGGCTACGGAATTGATAGTATTTGCTATGTAACAGAAAGGGACTGGTAAGAGACACAGGCATTATCACTTGCATAAGTTTATGCATGAGATGGTGAAGTAGAGAATTTGAGTTTAACTGTCCCAATAAAGTTAATTTTGTACTTCTTCATTGCTATTTGAGATTTAAAACAAAAACCCAAACCTGCTTGCATTACTTCTTCAAAAAAAATTTCAGTGTAGGCTTTCCATCAGCAAAATTCCCTTTCAACTATTTTTTTTTTTAAGTGCATGGCCTAATTCAAGAAATATTAATTACTCATGTTGCACTACAAGGGGATTTAAATTCAGGCTTTCACTGAGTCTCAATCTGCATTAAAATTCTGTTTGGTTTTTTTTAATGTTCCTTGTGACTGTAAGGTACCTACACAGACTTTCTTTCTGTGATGTTTTTGTAGAGTGATGACAGAGAGACAGATACAGCATCAGAAAGCAGTTATTCCCTTGGCAGAATCAAGAAGAGTCCCAGCTCTCTAACCAATCTTAGCGGCTCTTCTGGCATGGCCTCCTTATCCTCTGTATGTAAACCAAAGCCTTGTTTTAATGGCACTTTACTTTTGCTAATCTCTTCAGTATTGTTTCGGCTCCCTTCTCATTCCTCTTATCTTTCTTCCCTTGGCATCTGTTTCCTTCCTTGCCTCTCTGTTATGTAAACCCTTGCATGGAATTGCCTAAAACAAATACAATCAATCTTTTTTTTGTTTTCTAGTAATATATTGGAGTCTGTTCAGGACTGTGCAGCATAGTCTATCGCTGAACAAAGATACGGCTTTTACCCTAAGAACTTACACTTGCAGCTGAAAATGAGGGACGATTTATATAGAACAAACATTTAGAAAAGGAGAAAGGGAGCAGAAATAAGTGAAAGCAAGAGACGGTATTGATATGTGGGGTGTGTAATTAAGTCTGTGAACTAGCTAACCAAAAGTCGTTAGTTTATGTGGACTTTATGGAGAAAAGTAGAATTTTGAGGAAGGATATTGAGACTTAAAGATTGTACATCCTTCTCTTTCTACATATATAGTGTTTAACTTTCAGTGTTTTATTTGGGTACATAATTTGGCCATATAGACTTCATCACTAATCTTTTTGTCGATATTTTCAGAAGGCCTGCTGTCCTAAACACTTAGGCTTTGCTTTCGATAAGGAATATCAGCTGAAGAGATATATAAGTAATATTTCAAGGGTCTGATCACAGGCAATCTCCAGATCTACATCATCCTATCATTTTATTTCTTCTATCTTGATGCAATAAACACATTCAAATTTTTTTGTAGAAAACTTGGCCTAACACACTTGATTTACAGATAATTTTCTTTTGTTAATCTGTTTGCTGAGAATCTTGTATAATAGTATCCGTTACATTTTGTTATTACATCTGAAGGGGCACAGTTGATTTCTTTTCTGTCTGAATTCTAAGCATAACTTCTAATCTTGAAGTATCTGGTGAAATGCAATGCCTGGAAAATTTTTCTCCTCTTGTATGATACAGGTGAGCGGAAGTCTAATGAGCATCTATAGCGCAGACTTTGGCAATGTTGATGTGAAGGGGAACATTCAGTTTGCTATTGATTATGTAGAACAGCTGAACGAGCTCCACATTTTTATTTGCCAGTGCAAAGACTTGGCAGTGGCAGATGTTAAGCGGCAGCGTTCAGACCCGTAAGTAGAGAGAATATATTTATTTCCTAATGGAAGGTTTTTTTTTTTTTAATGTGAAAATGAAAACTGGTGGGTTTTTTTCCCCAATCTCTCTAACCTGTTGGATTAAACAACCCAAGAAATAAATGAAGAGGCTGTAACATGCTTTTATGTGGTTTTCCACTCTGAACTGAATATAGAGTTGCCACTATGAATTGGTACATATATTAACCTGGGAAGCTTAAACTTTTAAGAATATGAAATTCTCTTTTAAAATTCAACTTTCACAGAATCGATTTGGTTGGAAGAGACCTCTGGGATCATCGAGTCCAACCTTTGCCGTAACACCGCCATTTCAACTAGACCATGGCACTAAGTGCCACCTCCGGTCTTTTCTTAAACACCTCCAGGGATGGGGACTCCACCACCTCCCTGGGCAGCCCATGCCTAACGCCCCTTTCTGTGAAGAAATGCCTCCTCATTTCTAGCCTGAACTTCTCCTTATGCATTTTCAGACTATGCCCTCTTGTCCTGTCAGTACCTTTCCAGATGGTAAATCCTGCTTTGATAAGTTTTCAGTAGGATTAGAGTCTATAAATATGATATCTAGGCATAATATAGTTAAATATTCTGTATTTGTATGTGTTGAGGACACATTTCAACAGATTTCCCCCTGGTAGAAGGAGGTTAATGTCCCACTTTAGAAACTATTGTTACACTTCACCACTGCTGTTCCATTTCTTGAATCTCACAAGCTGAACAACATAATGGTTAGTTAATTGGATTTCTTTTACTTTATAAGCAAATACTTGTGTATTTTGGAAAGGGAAGTTGGAAAGGGTGGGTTTTTTGCTCTTCTAACAAGCCTGTCTAAATTTTAGGTATGTAAAGACCTACCTGCTTCCAGAGAAGTACAAGCTGGGCAAACGGAAGACCTCTGTCAAAAAGAAAACTTTTGATCCAGTCTATAATGAAATACTGCGGGTATTTATCGAACTATTACTAGATATGAAGTACTGCATGCATGAAGTATGAGGAACCTTAACTATTAGGCACAGGTCTAGGTGCTTTCAAAAGAGACGTTGAGATGAGATGGATTGCTCTGTAGAAGTATTTATGTCCTTCCATTGATAGGTTAACTCTACAGTGTACCCTGGATACAGCACTGAGAACACTGGTTGTTGTATACTTCTTGCAAACAAACACAAGCTAAGTATAAGCTTAAGATGCTTGAAATAAAAAGTAAAACATGAAGAGAGTTTTGTTCTGAAATGAAGAAGTGAGCCGTTAGGGATGTATAAACCCAGACATGTTTTTTTCTAACCCTGTCATTTTCAGACACAGCATTGATAAAAATCCAGCTTGTTTTAATTTTTTTCTCATTTCTTCCTGCTGGCAGTATAAAATTGAGAAGGGTCTCCTAAAGAACCAAAGCCTTAATATCTCTGTCTGGCACAATGATACCTTTGGGAGGAATAGCTTCCTTGGTGAAGTGGAGCTGGATTTAGGAACGTGGGACTGGAATGATAAATCCAACAAGCAGATCAACTGGTTTCCACTCAAGCCAAGGGTAGGTTACTAAGGGTGGTTTAGTTGTTTTATACTTTCCACTGTGTAAGCGCAAAACCAAGTCATTATTTATTTAGGCCTGGTCTTGTGTGTTCTGTGGTTTTTATGTTGGTTATAATCATAAATACCTCTTTACCGGTAAATGCAACATAGTTCTGAGCTTAAATAAGTGTGCAACAGTGGAAAAGATGTGCCCTCAAAGCCTTTTGGCCTCTCTTGAGTCTTGTTTTCTGCTTTAGTGGAAGAGTTATATACCTGAGGCACTGTGAAATGGTTAAATATGCCCTAAAATCTCTCATGTCCTGTAAACTGAGGGAAGACTAACAGACAAGGAAACAAGAAAAAAAAGTTGCCTCATGTAGAAGTCAAGCTTGTGTCAGTGGAAAACTTTGCATGGTAAACTCTGTGCATGAACTGCAAAGTTTGAGATTTGTGGGCTTTTTCTTAATTTTCAGAGTTCAATTCAGACTTCAACAATGGCTCTTAAACTAGAAAACAGAGGGGAGATGAAACTAGCCCTCCAGTATGTCCCACACCCTGTTGGAGGTATGCATTGCTTCTTTGTTTGGGTTTGTCAGGCCTTTGGGGTTTTTGTCCTTTTTTTTTTTTTTTTTTAGAAAAAGAAAGAAAAAAAAAAAAAGGAGCTGTAAAGGAGCTGTTTAATGTTTTTGAGCCAATTCAGACTTCTTGTTTTAACATAAAAGTGGATTTTTTTTTTTTTTTTACTAGACAATTAAGTTGCTCTGATTGTGAATTCAGTTTAGGATCCAAAGATCACTTTAGGATCTTTTGTTGTTTTTAATGTTACTGCAGAAGAAATTACCTCATTGTTATAATCTTAGATTTGTAATGCAGTCTGTATGTGTAACAAAATTCTGTTTTTTCTCTAATAATTTTAGAGATTATAAATCATCAGGCAGGTGTTGTGATTTGCTAAATAAACAATGACAGCACACTAAATTCAAGCAATATTAGAAGTAGAAAATAGCAATAAGTATTTAGAATGCAGCAATTTATAGCAATATGATCTGTTTGGTTTAATCTTGTCTGGCAACCGATAACTGGCTGATCTGATAGTGAAACCAGGTCAGGTCTTTAATTCAGTTAATATATTTGATTCTTATTGACTAAGAGTATAAAGGAGTTTATTTGAAAGTACAAGCGGCAATAAATGCAAACATCACATAGACCGAAGACAAGCTGATCTCTTTATCTAGGAGGCTTGGAAAGAGAAGACCAGTAGCACATATTTGTTTAGTTGTAACAGAAGAAAAGTCATTGTAGGAATACAGACGTGATGTGATCTTGCAGTACTTTGATGGGATGAAGATTGCAGCTTCAAGAGCACAGAGAGGAATGTTGAATTAAGATGTAAGATAATGAGAGTCTAGGCCGAATATCACCTCTACAAATGGGCAGGAACTGCTACATCATATAAATTACCTTTAAAAGGGATCTACAAGGCTTAATCAGATGTTTTGTTTTATTTTTACAGGAAAGAAGACTCTATCTACTGGTGAGGTCCACATCTGGGTGAAGGAATGCCATGACCTTCCTCTTCTGAGAGGCAATAAGCTCAACTCTTTTATTAAGTGGTAAGAACTGTGGTTGAAGTCATCAAAGATGGTGGCCTAAGAATGCTACTGTTGTGTTTTCTAATCTTATGTTCATTTTTCTACATTCAAATTAAAAAACACCAAATTACTTTCTGATTCTCCTTTATCGTAATGCAGATTGTCCTGCAGAGCTTACAACTTTAAGATGCTAAGTATATACCACCAAGTAAAACATATTGGGAGAGCTTCCTGTGTAATCGCTACTCTTTCATTTTGTCTGCTCAGTTACTTGGTGGAAGGGCTAGTGAAAATTGTGGCTGCTTTTATCCGCATTTAAATACAGCATATTTGTGCAAGAGTACGGTTTAGCTTAGCAAATCAGGGGAGGCAACAGAAGTGAGAAGCATGGTTGTACTTCTTTCTCCTTCCTTTCCACATACAGACCAAAAATGTAGCGACAAGAACAACAAGATGGTTAGGAAACCTCTGGCAGCAACAAGAAGGTTTCAGCATCATTAGTGATAATACAGCAAATAAACTCACTTGTGCCTCTTCCCCACCTGACTTCCCCTTCCCTTCCATCCTCTGAAGCACAAGGGTGGATACATGCTGCCAGTATTTCTTGGAAGGGACTGAGAATATGACCTTTGACCTCATGGCGCTAAAGCATCTTCAGTCATATTCTAAACATGCAAAGGACAGTGGTAAACAGTAGGTTTTTTTCTATTCAGTATGTCTAACACAAGCTATGCTGTGCAAGCGCAAACTGACAATGCTTTTTCTTTCTCAAGTACCGTTCTTCCAGATACTAGCAGAAAAAGTCGTCAGAAAACAAGAACAGTGGCAAAAACTACAAACCCAGTATTCAACCACACCATGGTCTACGATGGTTTTAGACCAGAAGATTTGAAAGAAGCCTGCATAGAACTCACAGTCTGGGATCACAACAAACTAGCCAACCACTTTCTGGGAGGTCTCAGGATAGGCCTTGGGACAGGTACTGGACAATTAACACATTAATCCTTAATTTACAAAACACAGTCTTTCCTCTTTTCCCTCTTCCTTTCCATTTCTTCTCTTTTCACAAAGATCACTAAACAGCCTTTCAGTTATTTATTTACTGAAGAGTTTCATTCAGTAACTTACCTAGTCTTCAGCACAGATCCTGAAATGTAAATAATAGTAGTGTTATGATGGTTAGGATGACTGACAAGTAAGGAGAAATACTAGAAATAAACCTTTGTCTGGCCATACATTGTATGTGGTGCTGTTTGAAGTACAAGAATGTGCTATTCGTGCACCCAAAATCTTGATAACATCTTACCTAGTTTTTGCACGTGTAAGTTCATATGTGGTGTAAGGACAGTGTTGGGTGGAGATAAAAGGATAGATCAGGAATGCACGATAAGATTTGCAGAGATTGGATAGGAAAACTTAAAAATGCAAACAAGTTTTTAGCATAAGAGTAATATAAGATGTGCAGATAGAAGAATTGTATGTTTTCCCTATCATTATATTTGTTCCTTTCGTTGTCCTTTCCAGTCAGTGGGGAGGATGTGTTTGGAGTCTTTTCAAGCAAATACAAGAAAAAATTACTTTTCCCAAATTAACTTCTTGCATGGTTCACCAGAATAACCTAAAATACAAATTAGGATACTGAATCTCAATTTGAATTTTAAAGTACCCAGGCTTGTATTTCAGTGCAAAATCAGTGTCTTGTTTTATGCTTAAACCCTCTCAGATGTTAATCACCCATAAATCCTTCTCTTTGGGATTGTGACAAAAAGACTAAAGATAACAAGGAAAAAAAAGTCTGGAGAAAGATGATGAAGTTTCCATGTGAAACTGTCATTAATTGTATTTGATTGATAGAATTGTTCAAGTGTAAAAATATAGAAATGGATCTTCAAAGTACTAGGTCAGCTACTGGAAGAGGTGAAACCGTTTTAGAAGAGGCAAATTTGATTGTCTGCTCTCAACTCTGCAGCATATTAAGTAACGTTTCTCTTAAAACTGACCTTTTTCTAGGCAAAAGCTATGGAACTACAGTAGATTGGATGGATTCTACTTCAGATGAAATTGCTCTTTGGGAGAAGATGATGAACTCGCCAAACACATGGATAGAAGATACACTACCTCTCAGGATGCTAATGGTTGCAAAATTGACAAAATAAGGTGGCTTTTTAATTGCTAGTGTCAAAAAGAAACCTTGGGAATGAAATTAAAGGTGTGGGGATGAAACTTGGAAGAGGAACATGGTAGCTCTTTTGACAGTCTCTGCTCCGTTGCTGTTCTGGTTTTATGCTGTCAAATGTCACTTTGTATTTCAAATTAAACTTCTACCTGCAGATTATTATGTAAATTTAAAGGATTCTTTTATTTCTTATTCACTGAAAATTACTTCAAGAAAGAAGGCACTTACAGAATTCAGTGGTAGAGGTAGCTGTGATACCCGGACGCTCGTGTTGCCTAACTGAAGTATTGCTCATCCCTTAAACAATCTAAATTACCAGCAAAAAACCAAGAGCAAGTCAACTGTTTCTGTACACTTCTAGGGTTGTTCATGAAGTCTTCTTAATAAGACAGCAACAGGTTGCATTTTGTTCATGCTCATTAGTATGTCTTTGTATCCTCATTATGCCATGACAGATCTCTCCACTGAGGAATATGAGCATGAAGAATTTTTTTTTTTAAAGTTCCTTTATTTGTAGTTGTACACTTCTAGGATATGAAAGTTGCTTCTATAATGAAAGAAGCGCTACATGAAGTGATACTGTCGATGTCCCGTTCTGCAAGGTGCAGAGGACTGGTAGTTCCAATGTACCATAAAAAATCAGGGTTATAAAAAGTTTGCTTATATATGTGTTAATTGTCTTGCTAGTATACAGTCTTTGCTTTTGAATGCTGAAGGCTTGGAGGTGAAACTTTTTTAATTCAAATGCTACTCTAAAGGATCTAAACCTGCCAATTTTAGTGATGACAAATATGTTGGGTATTTATTCCGTAAAGTGTACTCATCCGTACCTATATCTATTAGCTTGGGTTTTTTGTAAAAAGTAATTTACCTGTGCTTCAGCGCCATCGTTAAGAGAATGCGGGGATTATGCTGGCCTTGTTTTAGATAGCTTTGCAGCATAGCAAATAGGACTAGAATATGTAACTTGCAGAAATGCATGCTACTAAAGAAAGATAAATGCATAAAATACAAAATGTACTTTTTTTTTAAATAAAAGCAGCCTATTAAAGCTAAATAGGAATTCAATGTTTATTAAAACCTAGTGTTTTATGTTAGCAATTTAGCATGCAATATACAAATTGCAGACAGAAAACATTTCTGAAAATAAATGCACATTTATTTGCTCCAACTGTATAGGTCTAAAAGTTGGTGAAATCTTGCACTTCAGTTACAGCAGAGAGGAGAAGGGGGCTTGTCACAGCTCCAACTCAATTGCTTCATTTAATCATAGAAATTTAAATGCTACTTGGTACTTATTATACACTATGAGTGGAGAAAAGGAAAGGTGCTATTCAACCTCCCAGGGAACCCATTTTCTCTCTCATCAACCAAGGCAGTCTGTGGAGTTCACAAATGCCAAAAGTAGTTGTCAGTCTTGATAGCTTATTGCGTCAGGTGTTTTGGATGAGACTGGTAGCTGCTACAGATTCTACTTTGCCAGATACCTACAAAACATTATTCTTGTATGACTAGGGAACAATGTGCGTACGACTCTTCAGAACAATGTATTTGTACTTAAACGGTACAGCACCTACTTTACTTCTGTATTCTTAAATAGCCACCCCTGAAAGGGTGGTGATTCTGGAAAAGCGAAGAGGCACCTAGTTTATTTGTATTCACTGCCTATATGAATTCATTTTCACCTGAAAACATAGGTTGCTGTGAACACGACCTACAGTTTCACAGGATTAAAGTTGTGTTTCCTGTGAAGCTCAAATACTTTGCTGTGTCATTTGTATTCACTGCCTATATGAATTCATTTTCACCTGAAAACATAGGTTGCTGTGAACACGACCTACAATTTCACAGGATTAAAGTTGTTGTGTTTCCTGTGAAGCTCAAATACTTCGCTGTGTCAAAACAGCTTTGGGACTTCAGGCATAGGGATGGGGTCTTGAGGCTCTAGATTTGCAGGTAAGTGTCATGTAATCTGCTGTGTTCTATACTGTACAAAATTTTGATACTTAAGCTTGACTGCTGTCAAAATAAAACGTTTGCTTTGTGACAGTGTCAATCTCCTTCTCTTTTGGTCAAGTAGAACAACTTCTGTCTCACTGTTCTTGAACCATCCTAGAGACAGATGCAGCATTTTGTCATTATCTCAAAAGATACTGCTTACCACTACACTAATAGATCAAAACTCAGTTTAAATTTCAAAAAGCTACCTGAATATAAGATTTACTTCTGCACTGCACTTGTAATTAATCAGTGTGATTAACTAATGACACAGCAGTATTATGTACTCATCTAGATTAATCAAGAAACTTTTTAATCAAGAAATCTTTGCTTTAGCCCGGAATATTTTTTTTTTGTACACATATATGTATATGCATATATATGTGTGCCTATGTATTCTAAATTACACCATCTTTATTTCCTATAAACCAGGCTTCAGAGTCCCAGCTCTCCTTTCATGCTGTGTTTAGAAACCTCCCATTTCTCCAAGCAAGCCTGCAAACCTGAGTTGGTGCAGCAACCCACATCACTTTGATTTTACCCATTGTGAAAGATCTGGTATTGCGCCCTCCTTGTCTTGTTTCCTCCATCTCCTTTACTCACACCACCTCCTCTTTGCTTCGTATTCTTTTCCAGCGGAGTCAGCAAAACCTGCACCAACTTTTTCCTTCCAGCTGCATTTGGTTTTCCCTTTTTTCCCCTATCCCATCTGCCGGATTTTTCATTAACTGCTGAATAAAGTTGCAAGCCGTTCAGGGCAACGGCTATGTCTTCCCTTACCATGGACCTTCAGTGTGTTCCAAGAAGGTCAGAGCCTGCTATTCTGATCTCCTCTGGCATGTCCAGGGTACAAGCTGAGAGAGAGTTCTTCAAACTTGTGGAAATCTTCTTCCCTTTACCAAATCTGGGTGCTTTCAAGAGAGTCAGCAGCGTTTGTTTGCTAAGAAACACTCCCAGCTCTTTTGGCTGCTCTGGTGGCCAGTTCCAACTACTCTGGTCCAGTTTGAAAAGCCTGGATGAAGGCATGAGCTCTGGGGTGGCTGAATTCAGCCTCTTACCTCCACAGAGACAGAAAACCCACAGCAGGAGTGGCAACAAATGGCTGGGGAAAGAAAACACCTGGTAAGAAAACTTTTTTTCTTCTCTTAAACCCTGCTCTTCACTGTGTTTCCACTGGATGGCCTAAATCTTTTAGTCCTTCCCCCTCGTTTCTGTTATTTCCAGATGTTTTGGGGGGATCCAAGGTAGCAATAGTGGTGGGGGAGTGCAAGGCGGCAGAGACAGAGGTAGAGTCCGTACTGAGAGTCACTGCTATGCAGCTCTGAAGCTGTCTGTGCTTCACAGGCGTTAATTCATTTTTGCTGTATGTTATTTTTCATCCTTCCTTTAAGCTGGCTCCTTCCCACATCCGATCTTTACCTCCAGTCAAAGCCCAGGAATTCACAAAACCTGGTTATCAGCATGCCGTTTCATGTGCTGTGTCATTTCAGGTCTGCGTCTGAATGAAAAACTCGTAGATCAGTTTTAGGGTAACTTTTCATATGTCTGGACAGCAAGCTGTATGATTAGGTACCAATAATGACTTTGGTGCTGATGTAATATAAGTCTTTCCTTTATTTTTACATGAGGAACCAAACTTTTAAAATTAGATGCCTAAAATAATCCAGCAAATCAGTGTCAAAACTCACATGATGAACCAGTTCTCCAGGCACAAAGTCTTTGTATCACAGGGCATTCAGTAATTATTAGCATTGTACAGATCTCTTATTTTATTCATAAATCTCTAAGCACGGGATAAGGCTATTCAGTTATTTTTAACAAGCAATGTACTATTAAAATCTTATAAATCAATTACAAGTTTGATGTAACCCTCTATGTTTTACTTGCACTTATAATACCAGATCTGTAGGAGACAATAAAGGCAGAGGAAAAGGATTGTTTAGGGAATTATTTACAGCTTTATCACTTACAAGCTTTTTACCTAAATATAGTAGCAGTTCTTGTAGCTACAACAACAGTGTTTTGAGAAAGAATAATTAGCAGAGCTAGTAATCAGCAGATGAATAGGCTTGCATAAACACGAAGCCTACATTCTTTGCTTTTGCATCAAGTCTGGCATCCTTCTCATCAGTCCGCCTGACTCTGAAGCAGGGCGAAGCAGGTGAGGAGGGCTGCAGGACTCCGTGGGTTGAGGCTGCCCTTGGTTTCGGGAGGTCCTATCCCTCCTGCACCAGTTTCTCTGAACTGCCAGAAAAACTCTACCAGTTTATTGCAGTGCTGTTGACCACGTAACCTTTGGGTACGGTTTAATTATGCTGAATGTTACTAAGAGAAGCAGTCACTATAAAATTTAGTCTCATCTTTGTGTGAGACAGGGGCTCCATGGCTCAGGATGAGAGAGAGGCAGGGATGGCCAACTCCACAAGTGATCCAGAGACAGGCAAAGAGATGGAAGATCTGACAAAAGGCCTGGAGGAACTCTGTGAGAGCCCTGAAGAGGAGAAGAGTGAGAAGGCTCTGCTGCATTCACGCCTAGAGGAACAGTATCACCTTATTTGTACACTGAACAAAAAAGCAGACAATGCACGCAAACGCTGCAGAGGCCTGGAACAGCTCAACACAGAGCTGGAGAAACTGAGGATGGAGGATGCTGTCAAAATGAAAACAACCCACACCCAAGGGATTTAGCATTTGGAGGGGCGCTTCATGGATCTGGCCACCAACCATGAAAAAAGGTCAGAAGGCTCTTGCAGCGGTTAGAGGCCTTACAGGAGAAACGTGCTTATGAGAGTCGCAGAGCTCAGGAGCGAGAAAAGGCCCTGCTAGAAGCTCAGAGCCAGCAAGTAAGTGCCTATGCCCGGGAAGTCGATTCACTAAAAAACCAGCTGCAATACCTAGAGGCGAAGCATCAACAAACTGTTGCAGAGGTTGAGCACGCAGAAAGTCAGCAGAGGGCTCAGAGCAGCAAGCAGCAGGCCAAGCTGGAGAGGGCAAAGGAGGAGAAAGAGCAAGTACCAAACCTGGCCATGGAGAGGGGGAAAGCTCTGCGAGATAAGCGGCGGAAAATTCAGCAGCTGGAGACTGCAGAAAAAGCCAGGCAGAGCAGGAAAGTGCCTGGTGGAAGAGGCAGCAGCAGTGGACAATGATCTGAAGGTCCAAGAGCTCCAACAACAGCTAGAAAGCAGCAAGCAGGCATATGATGAACTCTCACTGTGGTTTGACGCTTACAGAAAGCACAGTTCAGATTTACTGACTAAAGAAAAAGTGCTGAATGTCAAACTCCATCATTTTATTGCATAATTGCAGCTTTCTCCTCTGTTCTCCGCAGGTGCCTCTATCGTAACACACCGCTGCATTTTGTTCCTTTCCCTGAGACCATCTTCTGATTTCTCTGTAACATACTTACCAACTTAAATCCTCCTGCAAGGACTGTTCTGGAGCCTTTTTTTTTTTTCTGTTACACTTTTATATAAAAGATCTCTACACTGTTAAATCTGAATGGGGATTGTTGAACTAGTCAAACCTGTGACATGAAAGACTGGAGTGGAAAAATTAAAATATGAATTTGTTTTATTTGGTTCTAACCTCTGCTATATCATATTTTATTTTTTTCACACTTAAAAGCATATTATTTTCCAAGATGGACAAAAGCTTAAACCCTTAGTCTTTTATGTTTGATTCTCCCTTGAAGTTCAACAGAGGTTGGGCATATAAGAGCTAACACTGAGGCTCCAAGAAAGAAATCCCGCCTTGCAATGTCTACATCATAGAGAGTCGTGATTCAGTAAATTAATAAGTCAAAACAGTAATATCATACACCACCTGATGTTCAAGCAAATTACTGTGTATATTCATCTAGTAGTCTCACAGGTTTCTGCAGTTGTCTTAGTTAATATCATAGCATTATTTATATCCACGTTCAGCTCAGAATAAATTGCCAGGCCTTTTGCGTGATTTCAATAGTCTTTGAAACAGGTTGAGGTTCTAGATGTTCCACCAGTTTAAGTGTTTTCTGGGTTTTAGGTGTTTACTGTAGAGAAAATAGTACCAATGCACAAAATGGAAGGTATTTTTTACAAAAAACCGTTTCATTTTCCTGTCAGCACTGTGAGATACAGAGGTATTCCCACTTTCTCTTGCCTCTCTCCTAGTCAAGGAGGAGGTTTTTGGCTGCTGAGTTTCGGCTCCTGCTCTTTAACTCTCCAACAAAAGAAACCATGACGAGCCAAATGGCATTCCCCACCTGGGCTGTAAGCAGCTGCCTGGAGAGCTCCCCAAGTTCTTTCCCATGTGTGTATACCTTGGGGTAACTCAACGTTTTAGCTAGTTGTTTGGCTAGCTCTTGGTCCTCAGCATCTATGAAGCAGCACGACGGCATCAAAATTGCTATTGTGCTCAATGTTCAGAAGTGGTCAGAAGCAGAGGGTCTGGAGATCCTCCAGCTTGTGACCAGTTCATCTCAAGGACTTGCTGAACCAGATGTGGTTTCTAAGTAAGTAGTAGCTGTCAACGGACTTGTCTTCTGAACTTCTCTGGGCTCTTCTTGAATCTGCACAAAGCCAGGTGAGAAGTATTACTCTACTACCTGCTGCATGACAAACCACAGCCTTTCTTTTGATCCTGGCTCCTACAAGTGTCATTCCACACCTGTTTTATGGATCACATCCTACTTTTTGACCACCTTTTCCCCCCTGATGTGTCAACCCTACATGCACATTTAATTGATGTCAATGCAGGCAGTGTAGATGCCAACTGGCCCGGGCTACAAACTAGAGCCGTGGTTTGAGGAAGGCACACAGCAGGACTTGTGTCAGCTGCTCTGTTTGAAATAGTCGATATGCAGCAAAACGTGACCCCAAGAGAGCCCGAAAACAGGTACATAAATAGTCTAAATCTGGGCAGGGGACACTCACTCGCTGTGTGACACAGAAAAGCCCCACAGGCCTTCAGTCCAGCCCCTGCCGCAGTCCGGCGGGAAAGCCCCCAGAACACCACGGCCCCCGGGGGACATGCCCCTTCCCTCCCCTCGGCCGCATTTGTGGGTGACAGGCGCCCCTCGCCCCCCTCACACGCACCCCCTCTCCCCT